GAGGAAATAAGTTGAAGATATATGTAGAGGACAGCCTGTTAGAACTTGGTGTTATCAATAGATTATGGAGGTGAAAGAGAAATTGAGAATGTCTTCTTGCTCTCTAGGTGCCTAGATACAGATGGTGGTGTGACCAAACATTTCTGAGAAAACCACATGGATGTATCCAAAAGATGGATGGATTTTTTTTTCTTATTTTTTTTTTGAGACAGAGTCTCACTCTGTTGTGCAGGCTGGAGTACAGTGGTGTGATCTTGGCTCAGTGCAATCTCTGCCTCCTGGGTTCAAGTGATTCTCCTGCCTCAGCCTCCCAAGTTGCTGGGACTACAGGCGTGCACCACCATGCCTGGCTAATATTTGTATTTTTTGGTAGAGACGGGGTTTGCCATGTTGGCCTTGGCTGGTCTCAAACTCCTGACCTTAAGTGATCTGCCCATTTTGGCCTCCCAAAGTGCTGAGTTTACAGGCCTGAGCCACTATGCCCCAATAAAGAGATGGCTGGATTTTGAAGCTTAAGGGAGAGATGAGACCTGGACATTTAGACGTAGGAATCATCAGCATGGCGGAGTTACTTAAAATCTTGAAACTGGTGGGGCGCCATGGCTCATGCCTGTAATTCCAGCACTTTGGGAGGCCAAGGCAGGTAGATCACCTGATGTCGGGAGTTCAAGAGCAGCCTGACAAACACAGAGAGACCCCGTCTCTACTAAAAATACAAAATTAGCCAGGCATGGTGGCACATGCCTGTAATCCCAGCTACTCGGGAGGCTGAGATAGGAGAATCGTTTGAACTCGGGAGGCAGAGGATGCAGTGAGCTGAGATCGCGCCATTGCACTCCAGCCTGGGCAACAAGCGCAAAACTTCGTCTCAGAAAAAAGAACAAAAATAATAATAACAAATATCATGAAACTGATAGAATTTCTTCAGGGGACAGTATAGATAAACACTCAACAAAGAATGGAATCCTGGGGAACACTCACGTCTTAGAGGCGGGCCAGGGAAAAGCCCAGGAAGGAGACAGTTAAATAGCATGAGAAACAGAAGGAGAATCAGGAAATCAAATTGGAGAAGAATCGGCATTGTCGGAATGCAGCAGAGATTTCGTGAAAGTTGGTCACTGGGTTTGGCAATAGGAAGGCTATACAAAGAGGAGTTTCAGGAAGGTAGAGCTGGAAACCAGACTGTACCACGGGTTAAAATGGGGATGGGAAGTAGAGGAGTGGATGAGGAATCAAGTCAGTGACTATATATGGCTTGCTTTCAGGAATTTGAGGTAAAGAAGGTGAAGATAGAAGTTATATGGCATGTCTTCCTACTTCGGATGATTCTAAGCACCTTGAGAGAAATGTCTAGTAATGTACCATGTGTACAACCGTATTCTGTTATTAATGACATCAATGATTCTAAAAAAAATATCAGCACCAAACCTTTAGGTTTCTACTTAGCATTTCTTCTTTTACCAAACTATTTCCTTATTTACTTCCAGTCTATTCAATGACAGGAATTGTTTAGGTACTGACAATTCAGAATGACAGAAATTGTTTAGGTACTGAGAAACTTCCCACAGAAATCCCCGTACACCATTTTGAGAAATTGGACTCAAGCCATTTCCTGCTTTGGTCATCTAAAAAAAAATAGTAGCTGTTATTTACACAGTAATCAGAATTCCATCAAGAAATGCAGTCTGCATTAAATCTAAGTCATGTTATTGTTATAATCACGAGTATTAGAAAAACAAGTTTGTGACAGAAAAACAAGTTTGTGACCTTGTTCATCGCTAAAACATGTAATGTTGTTTGAATTTGTAATGAATGGGAGGCTGGGCTTTCAGAAATCAAAGGTGATCTATGTACCCTGTGGGGTGCTCTTTAAATAGTTACTGAATGACTAATCAGTGATTTCATGGGCCCTAACACAGGTGAGATGATTGTCTGAACAGGTCTATTTGAATAAGGAAACTCATACAAAGGACTAGCCTGAAGGATTCTCAGGGACACTTCAGTGATATTCACATCACACATATAAAACTGTATTTACTTAGTCTAAAATCTCTTATAAGAAAAAATATAATTATCCAGAGAAAAAAGTAAAAAAAATGTGTATACTGTTTCTAAGTTTGCTAGAAATTTATTCTGAGCAAGAGTTTGAGTTTTATGGAAAATAATTTCTATTATCGGAACACCGACTTTTTTTTTTTTTTTGAGACAGAGTCTTGCTCTGTAGCCCAGGCTCGAGTGCGGTGGCGTGATTTCAGCTCACTGCAACCTCCACCTCCTGGGTCCCAGTTTAAGCAATTCTTCTGCCTCAGCCTCTGGAGTAGCTGGGATTATAGGCACACACCACCATGCGCAGCTAAGTTTTGTACTTGTAGTAGAGATGGGGTTTCACCATGTTGGCCAGGCTGGTCTTAAACTCTTGACCTTGTGATCTGCCCTCCTCGGCCTCCCAAAGTGCTGGAATTACAGGCGTGAGCCACTATGCCTGGCTAGGAACACTGACATTTTTAAGCTCCCCTAGGTTACAGGCCGTTGCATTAAGGTAAAATGTGAAGCTGATTCATATTCAGATTGCTTCCTTTTAAAATCATAGGCCTTACTCATTTCCCCTTCTTCTTATTGTGTTTCCCATTTTTGATGGCCTAATCTTCATTTATTAGTACTGATGCCAATGAAAGATCTTCATTTATTCCACAGACGTGTACAAAGACAAGATCCTTATTAAGGATCTCTGGGAGTCTTGGGGACATTTGAAACACAATCCTTGCTCAAGAAGTTTAAAGACGTTACAATTCAGTGATAAAAATATGAAGTAGAAAATATCATACAAGATTACATACTAATGCTGAAATGAACATGGGAGTGCAGATATTTCTTTGACATATCAATTTTGTTTGTATTTATTTATTTGAGACAGAGTCTCACTTTGTCGCCCAGGCTGGAGTGCAATGGCACGATCTCAGCTCACAGGAACCTCTGCCTCCTGGGTTCAAGCTATTCTCCCACTTCAGCCTCCCCAGTAGGTGGTACTACAGGTGCGCACCACCGAGCCTGGCTAATTTTTTTACTTTTAGTATAGACAGGGTTTCACCATGTTGGTCAGGCTAGTCTTGACCTCAAGCAATTCACCCGCCTTAGCTTCCTAAAGTGCTGGGATTACAGGCGTGAGCCACCGCGCCCGGCCAAGTTAATTTTTTTTAAAAAGATTATATACTAAATTCTATGGATGTCTCTCCAAGTGTAGGAACTGGACCTTATGCATCTTTGTACCCTAATTGTTAAGCTCAGTTTGCCACAGAGTCAGTTTACTGAATTGAAATCATTGAGAAACTGGAACTGGGTTAGGAGGAAACCAGAAAGACTGCTTATAGCAGAGAGAACACAAACTAGGTCTGGCCCTAAAAGGGATAAGTGGGGCCTGTATATAGGCATATGAAGAAGAGCTTTCAGGTTAGAAGGGAGATTGTATTAATAAGCACATGTAGCATGTTGTAGATACTAGAATCAGAGCTTCTCAGGTCCATCAGGATCTCTATTGACTTTTTACTACGCTTCAGTCTACTTGGCGGTGATAGGCAGAAGTCTAGGGTTTGCAGCAAAATACATCAGTTTAAGTCATTTCAACTCTTTCAACTTTTAATGTGCATGCAAGATGTCGGAAAGCTTCCAGTTTCACCTTGAAACTGTCTTAGGCTGGGCTCAGTGGCTCACACCTATAATCCCAGCACTTTGGGAGGCTGAGGCGGGCTGATCATTTGAGGTCAGGAGTTTCAGACCAACCTGGCCAACATGGCAAAACCCCTTCTCTACTAAAAATACAAAAAATTAGTCCGGTGTGTGGTGGCGGGCGCCTGTAATACCAGCTAGTCGGGAAGCTGAGGCAAGAGAATCGCTTGAATCTGGGAGGCAGAGGTCGCAGTGAGCCGAGATCATGCTACTGCACTCCAGTCGGCGCGACAGAGCAAGACTCTGTCTCACATACACACACAAAAAAGTAATCCCAGCTCTTTGGGAGGCTGAGGCGGGAGAACTGCTCTTGAGGAGTATGAGACCAGTCTGAGCAACATGGTGAAACCTTGTTTCTACTAAAAATAAAAAAAATTAGCCGGGCTTGGTGGTGCACCCCTGTAGTTCCTGCTACTCGGGAGGCTGAGGTGGAAGGATCACTTGAGCTCTAGAGTTCGAGGCTGCAGTGAGCCGTGATCGCATCATTGCAGGCCAGCCTGGGTGACCCCGGGAGACCCTGTCTTGAAAAAAAGAAGAAGAAGAAGAAAAAAAAAAGCGAATAGACGAGTCCCAAGGCTGAATGTTAAAAGACCAGGACTCGGGATTAGAGGACCTGGCTCTATCACTACCCACCTCCAAATCCTTGCTCATGTCATCTCACTTCTGAACTGGGCCTGTTTGCTCCTATTAGAGAGGGCGGCTTCCACCCCCGCTGTCCAATACAGTGGGGACTAGCAGCCACATTTGACTATGAAACGGGTCTCCTTCGCGTCAAATACGCACTGCATTTCAAAGACAAAAAAGTCAAATATCTTACGAATAACTTGAATATTGATTATATTTTGAAATAGTATTTTGCACATTCGGGGTTAAATAAAAATATTTTAAAAATAAAAAAGAAAATGTACCTGTTATTTTTACTATTTTGATGTGGCTACTGAAAATGTAAATGACATATCCCTTTCAGCTTTAAGACTCCTCCAGGAACACTGTGGACACGTAATTCGTAGGATTTGATTTCCTCGCGTTGAGATACGGAAGGATTGGCCGGGAGTGAGCGAGATGGGGCGGGGCCCCGCAGGAAAACACAGGCCCCTTCGGCTTTTGCTCTCGCTCTGGGAACTGGAGGGACCCTCGACTGCCGCGCGGGGTCTGGGGTTGCGCGAGTGGATCGCATCTCCAGGCGGGGGCCGTCAGGGGGCCGGGGGCGAGCGCTGCGGGCCGGGCGGGGCCGAGCCGGGAAGCGGGTTGGTGCGTCAGCCTCCCGCGCCGGGAAGGAACCGGTCCGAGGCCCCGGGCGGCCGGCGCGGGCGCCGCGGCACGTCCGCAGGCTGGGTCGCGAGGTGGCGACCGCTGAGAGGCGGGAGGGCCGAGGCGGGCCTGGGAGGCGGCCCGGAGGTGGGGCGCAGCCGGGGCCGGCCCGCGCGGGCTTCATCTGAGGGCGCACGGCCTGCGGCCGAGCGTGCGGACTCCCAGGCGTGAAGCGACGACCGGTTGCCGGAGCGGCTATGGGCCGCGGCTGGGGATTCCTGATTGGCCTCCTGGGCGCCGTGTGGCTGCTCGGCTCCGGCCACTGCGAGCAACAGCCCCCGGAGACTGCGGCACAGAGGTGCTTCTGCCAGGTGAGCAGTGTGCGCTTTGGTGCTGCGGGTCCCGGCGCCCTCCGCGGCACGCTGTGTCCCGCACGCCCAGGCAGGTGAGCGGCTGGGGGTGCGTCTTTGCGTCTATTCCCGCCGAGAATAAGACTCCGGTGCTGCTGCCTGGTGGCCGGGACTGAGTCTTCAGCTCGCCTGGCTTGGCATGGACCGGGCCCCCGCGGCAGCCTGGAAGTCGGCGCGCCCTCCGGTGCCTGGGACCAGCAGAGGGGTGTGGGTGCACGCCGTTGAGTGGATTTATGCATCTTGGTTGAGCTCTGCCCAGGGAGAGTGTGCACAGTGTATACACAGCTCCTAGCCAGTATTTGCTAGTTTCACAGAACCTAGATCTTTCTAACTTCAAACTTGACCAGGAACTTGTGTACCCAGTACCTGTGCAGCGTGCATTTCGCCAGCCTTTTTGGCTAAGACGTTTGTGGGCTGCTCTCAGATCTCGATGTTAGGCGGAAGAATGGCTGCGTGTGGTTTTTCTGTATAAACCCAACTACCTGATGTCTTTGGGACTGCAGTTGCCCTCTGGTTTGTGGCCCTGTGTGCTCTTTTTTTCGAAAGTAATGAGATTCTCTGATCCTGACACCCATTAAGCTGGTATGAATTGGGAGGATGATCCTTATTCTTCAAAGCACAAGTTTGATTACAGGCAGATTACGATCTTTTCTTTCTGTAAGAGATGTGGTTCCTTGAGCAAAAAATTCAGAGAAACTTACAGGTTTCCGTTATCCTCAGTATCTGGTACTTCAATGTGATTACTCTTGTCAAAGCCATCTTTTGATTGACTCTGTTAATAAAAATTACTTTTTCTACAAAATTAAGGGGTAGGCATCCATGTTATTCCTAAGTGGATTTTGCTATTTATTATCAGAAATAACATTTTATGTGTTTAGGAGCGAGATATCATGTCAAAGGAAAGATGTGTTTAAATATGAAAGGGTTTTCTTTCACTGCTTTACATTCTTGGATTTTGTTGTTTTGCTGAGTGATTTGGGAGTTGAGGTGAGTGTTATCTAGGAAACTAAGGGAAGTTGAAAGAAAATTGCTGCTTTACAAATAAGACATCGAAAAGTTCTTTACCCTCAATGATTGCAAACGACACACAATCAAGTACCTAAAAGGAAAAAGGGTCATTTTTTCTTCTCATATAATGTAACATAGAGATTAAGCATTTAAAATATAACATAGAAATGACCTTAAAATAAAATATTCGGTACAGAAAAAAGATGTCCAATGTAACATTTTCAATTACATTCTGGAGATTTGAATAGTGGAATAAAAAAGTACACGTTGAACTCTTCAACTTTTACTTTTTTTTCCTTAATAACCTTTTTGGAGTTCTGCTTAAAATTGGAGAACTTTAAATTCTTTATATTTATTTTCTTTTTCTTTTAACTGGTGATTAAACTTTTTTCCTCTTTCACAGTATCCTCAGATTCAAATGCTTCCTTAACATAAAATTTTGTTAAGCCCCTTTCTTTTTCTCTCACAACAAGGGTAGATATCTGTGTTCCTTTTCAGAGTCAACCTTGAAAAATAGTAAATTGGGCTGGGTGTGGTAGCTCCAGCCTGTAATCCCAGCACTTTGGGAGGCCGAGGTCGGAGTAGCTCTTGAGTCCAGGAGTTCAAGACCAGCATGGGCAATGTAGTGAACCATCTGGGTGTGATGGTGTGCGCCTGTGGTCTCAGCTACTTGGGAGGCTGAGGTGGCAGGGTGGCTTGAGCCCAGAAGTTTGAGACTAGCCTGGTGACCCTGTCTGTTATTAGTCTGGGTTCTCTAGAGGTACAGAACTAAATGAATATATACATATAAAGGGGAGTTTATTAAGTATTAATTTACACGATCACAAGGTCTCACAATGGGCTATCTGCAGGCTGAGGAGCAAGGAGGGCCAGTCTGAGTTCCTAAACTGAAGAACTTGGAGTCTGATATTTGAGGGCAGGAAGCATCCAGCATGGGAGAAAGATGTAGGCTGGGAGGCTAGGCCAGTCTCTCTTTTCACATTTTTCTGCCTGCTTGTATTCTAGCCATGCTGGCAACTGATTAGATTGTGCCCACCCAGATTCAGGGTGGGTCTGCCTTTCCCAGCCCACTACCTAGTGATTGAGGCTGCAGTGAGCCATGATTGCACCACTGCTCTCTAGCGTGGGTTGACAGAGCGAGAGTGTGCCTGAAAATAATAATAAATTGAGGATCATATAGTTAAAAAACCAGTTTTAACAGAAATTTAGAAATTTAGAATGGTCTACTTAGGATTTGTGGAAGCCTAGGCAAAAATAAAAAAAAAAGATCAAAAAATGGTCTACTTAAATAAACTATAAACAGAGACTATCAATTCCAGTTCAATAAATAAAACAATATGGCCAGTAATGGAAGGGATGAGGATGAGGGGAGAAGGGAGGAGAGGCGGCAGAGAAAAATAGAGGCAAGCTTATAGACAGATATACACAGAAAAACAGCGTGAGAGGGAAAAGAAAAAAAAATGGAGAAAGAAAAGGGGAGATAAATGGTGCAAATCATTCATTCAACAAACGTAACCACTCTGCGCATTGACCAGTGTTTGCGATACAGAAATAACTATGACATTATCCCTGCCTTGAAGAGCTTACAGTTTAGTGAATAATGTTCATTGGGAATTCATGTGAGGCACAGATCCTAAGCACTTAAAAAACAAGTCAGGAAATACTGCTAGGAACTAAGTCAAAAACTAAATTTTTACGTAATGTTTGGAAATACAAGTTAAAGTCTTCTCTAGTTCTGTTTACAATATCCAGTGAGCTGCCCAGTTCTGTCGTTTTGTTAATAGTTTTATCTTTTGTTCCTGTTGCGTGTCCTCCTTACCACATCTGCCTTCGGTTACCACATCCCCACCCATCATCCCCCGTTGCAGGGTGCCTGGCTTATAGTAGGGTTCAGTTCACAGAATTTCAGCTCTGATTTGAGCCAGAGCAGTGATCTTAGAAAGTCATTGATTTAAAATGTATAGAGCTCTACAAGAAATCTGATTAAATTCAACAAGCGTATGTTGAAACCTACTGTTAACAATTTTTGGGAGATCAAAAAATGAATGAAAAAAAAAGGTCTGACACTTCCAAGTAGTGAGCCTGGTGAATAATTGGTGCTCAACAAGTCCTAGGGAATTTATAAGATGTAAGCACTATGCCAGCAGGAATATATTTTTTAAATTTTTCTGCTTACCAAGCCATTTACATGTTTTCTGGAACTGATCTTTCAAATTGGTTGATAGCTCCAACTGAGTCTTTGAATTCGGTCAGTTGCTACATATGCCTGTTAGTTGACATCAGATCCTACTAAAACCATTTTCACTATATGTTGTAAGTTCCTTTAATAATAGTGCTTAAGTGTTAGTTGCTCAAAATGAGTGATTAATCGCTTTAGACTTGTAAATCTATATATGTAACCTCATGTAAGAATTGTGTATACAACCTTATATGAGGTTATATATATGGATCATGTAAGGTTGTATATACAGTCCTTACATATACTTTAAAAATTTTTTATTTTTAATTCTTTTATGGGAAATTGGCTTTCCTCCACTTTTGGGTGAATAAATCTATGAATTTTTTTTTCCCTGTGATCCAAAATGTCTATGAAGTTTTTTTTTTTTTTGAGATGGTGTTTTGTTCTGTTGCCCAAGCTGGAGTGCAGTGGCATGATCTCGGCTCACTGCAACCTCTGCCTCATGGGTTCAAGGGATTCTCCTGCCTCAGCCTCTTGAGTAGCTGGGATTGCAGGTGCACGCCACTTTGCCCGGCTAATTTTTTTTTTTTTTGGTAGAAACAGGGTTTCACCGTGTTAGCCAGGCTTGTCTTGAACTCCTGACCTCAGGTGATCTACCCGCCTCAGCCTCCCAAAGTGCTGGGGTTACAGGTGTGAGCCACTGTGCCCAGCCTGTCTATGAAGTTTTAACACATGTATAGTTTACATAAACATCTCCAAAATCAGGACCTACCCTTTCCTTAAATCAAAATAGTTTTTGTAGTAATAGGTATGGGCTTGAAGCAAATAAAGACCTTTCACAGTTTCGTATTTCTTTCTGACAATTATTGCCCCATTATATACCATTAGAGAGAATGAAGGTAACAGAACTTTAGTCCCAATTAATGGCATACCAGGATGTATTTTAAAGAAATAACCTCAGAATAAATATTGAAGCCCAGATATGGAGGCACTATGGACATCTTTTTCATTTAAATTAATTAGAAATAAGTTGGTAAACTCTTACTCACAATGTTTTATCAATCTTAATATGTCTAGTGCTAGTAACACTCAGGATAGCTTATTTGAGTGTGGTAAATCTCTGTCAGGCTAATGAAAGGGGAGAGTAGCTCAGAGTCCAAAATAAATACTCCAAAAATGGATCTTTTTTAGTTTGGAATGCATTTAGCAGATTTAACCTGTCAAGTGTATTGTTAGGTCAGTTGAAACGATGGTTTTAGGTGTTAGCACCAGTGGCTGGGCCATGGGAGAGACACTTGCTGATATGTTGAGTGGTGGGTGGAAAGAAGCCCGGGATTAAAACTTAGTCAGAGGGACCTTTGAAACAGGTTTTACTGGATAGGTGTCCACTGACTCTCAGTGTGCGCTGCATTCCAGGCTTTTTGAATAAACTGTATGGAAGAAATATTTTCCTGATGGTTGCCAGTCATTTGACAATAATTTAAAAGTTTTAGCAAGACTAAGACTTTAAAGCCAAAATGACCTGTAGCATTCTATGTCCTTAGAATGGTGCCAACCACGTGGTGTGGAATCTTTGGTATTTCTCTGCTTCCATTGACAGACTTGTCCCAGTGTGCTTCTGTCAACAGTTGAATACTTTTCATGCTCCTTTTTATAGTCATAAAACCCAATAAAATTAAATACACCTAAAGTTCTTTGCCAAATAAAGCACACTTCAAGCACATAGGTTTATTTATGTATCTCCCTCCACCTTTATTGAGGTATAATTGACACA